TCTGGAGCGCGCGGCCTCCGCCACCTGGGCTCAGCGCAGCGGTGTGTCGGGCTCTGGAAACCCGAGAAGGTTTGGACCGCGGCCGAACGGGAGTGCACTGAGGGGTGGAACCCCAGAGGTGATGCCTTTGTCCCGACCCCGGAGTGCGAGCATTGGTGTAAAGTTACTCCTCGGGATGACTCAGCCTCCGCTCGCCCCACTGATGAATTTGGGGTGAGGGTGTATGCGGGTTCCAAAACTTGGTAAAAAAAAAATGACAGTTTCCGAACGTTGTGTCTGTAGTTTCTCTACTGGTTGGTGGATGTGCGGTGGTGACTGTTTATGGTTTCGTAATTCTGCCCTTTCCGTCATGAGTCTTAAAATGTGATCATCCTGTGAACTGGTGTAGGCCTGGTGCCACGAGACTCACTTATTGATAAAGTCCCTGTAAGACATTCAGTTGAGTGGGGATGTTGTCATGTCTTTTATAACCGTTAACATTTGCCCATTTTGGTAAGCATTTTCTGTAAAAGGACTTTAGCCTGATGAGACTTATTTATCTGAGGGTTTGCAAAACTAGCAGTTTAGTGGCAGCCTAAACAGTCAAGAATGTGTGCTTAAGCAAATATCGTTACTGTGTTTCCATAGGTGATTTTTTTATGATTGGATCTATAAATAGACCGTTATCATTGTGTGTGAGAATATCTTTTATTTAGTGTTAATACAAAATATGGCATGGATTGATAATTTTCTAGCTAATTTTTGTCACGTGTTTAGCGTTTACAGCTGTGCTTAAAACTTTATCTAGAATCTAGGTTAGAATCTAGCTGCTAAATTGACCTCAGCATTCCGGGTAGCTGAGACAGGAGGATAGCCTTAGGCTATTTGGGTTACTTAGTGCTTTGGGGAAACATAGTGAGTCTAAGTCTTGAAAAAAAAAAAAGCAACAAAAATGGTATCTAGGTAGTTATGTCATGAGGCACGTAATGTATTATTTGCATTGATTAATCTATTGCTGTAACTAGTTAGTGGACTTGGGCCACATTTTAAAAATAATTTAGTTTGTTTTGAATTAAATTGTGAGGTATTTTGAATCTGATTCTCCCAGTTTTACTGGCAGTCAGGGAAAACAATAAAGCAGTCAGCCCTGTTTGCCCAGAGATGAGCTCTTTGGTTCTCTTGGACAAACGTCAGGGTGTGGTGGGGACACACCTTTAGTCTTATCATTTGGGAGGAAGAGGCAGGCAGATCTCTGTGAGTTCAAGGCCAACTTGGTTTACACAGTGAATTCCAGGCGGGGCGCGGTTCCGTAAAAAATCAGAGACTAGCAAAATTTTATTTTTCAGTTTATCCCTAACCCTATCTACACTTTTTTTTTTGAGACACAAGAGTTTCACAATGTAGCCTCAGCTGGCTTACAGCTTGCTCTGTAGCATACACTAGCTCTGACCTTCGAGCAGCAGTCCTGCATCAGCCTTCTAGTCCTGGGGGTGGTAGACCAAGACCACTAGAGCCTGCTGCGCTTTCTTATGTTGTAATGGCTCAGGAGATGCAAGGGAGTATCTGACCTGACAGCATCTTTCCATATCCATCGTAGTTCTTTCACTTTATTTATTTATTTATTTATGTTTTTTCGAGACAGGGTATTTCTGTGGCTTTGGAGCCTGTCCTGGAACTAGCTCTTGTAGACCAGGTGGCCTCGAACTCATAGAGGTCCGCCTGCCTCTGCCTCCTGAGTGCTGAGATTAAAGGCGTGAGCCACCACCACCCGGCTTCTTTCTCTTTATACTTGCTACATTGAGACCATTGAACTAACAAATAAGGATTAAAAGGAACACAAGAATATCTTTAGAGGCAGGTTCTCAAGTAGCCCAGGCTGGCCATGTACTCACTGTGCAACTGAGGCTGATCTTTGAATTCTAGTCTTTCTGCTGCCTCTACCTTCTAGGTGCTAGTGTTACAGGTGTATGCTATCATTCTGCTATGAATTGGATGTTCATATAAAATAATTGGCTCTATTATAAATTGACTCTTAAGTTTAAGGAATGTATAATTAGCATGGGAGGAGAGAAGTGATGTGTATAAGTCCCTTTTTCTTTAAGAACACCCTAGACGTCTCAGTTTTGTAATTTTTGTTTTGGTGGTTTTTGTTTGGAGAAAGGGTCTCACTCTAATTCTTCCTGGCTTTGTATTAAGTGTGTAGTTCAGATTGGCCTCCAGCTCTTTTTCCCTTTGCTTAAGATGTGGTATATGATACACTTTGGAGTTTTGATAAGTTTTCAGAAGGAAAATAACACAGTGGAAGGTTGTGAAGTCTGTGTCTATGTGGGTTTGAAACTTTACATAAACTCTCCTTATAAAGTGGAGCATATGGGCCCTGCATGTGTAAAAGTGAAGAGTTGAGTGCTAGTAGAGCCAAATTTCAGGAGCACTTGGACTTGTCTATCCCTTAAATTGAACCTATGCAGTACACTGTATTCAGTATGCGCCGATGAAATATAGTAGCACGTTTTGTATGTGTCTGTGTTTGTAGGACCATTGGGCATTTTAAAGAAGGCAAAATGACAAATATCAATTGCTGGGAAAAGGTGTTTGAGAAGCAGACTGTGGAGTGGTGGTTTGTAATTATGAAAACAGTGATCTATTTTCATATTATTATTAGTTTGAAACTGTCCACATCAGTTTTTCCTTCACTATCTATACACAAACATTGGTTAGTAACTTCCCAGAATATATATCAAGATAATAATTCAGTACTTTACTGTTATTTCTGTGTATGGGTTTGGGTGACTTTGACTGCAGATATGATTTGAGCAAGCTTTTTTTTTAATTTCCTATGTTTATAGTCTTGGTTTAATAGAGTAAAGTTATTTATTTCAGTATTACATAGGTAATTTCGGTTTGTTTCATATTTAGTATACACTGTAAAGTAAAATATAGAAACTAAAAATTTTTCTCTAAAGTCATGAATTTTATAGAGTAATGAGTAATATGTTAATGTCCTGATATGGAATGATATCTGTATATGCAGTCCAGGCAAAGTATACACTGACCTGTATGTCATGGTGGAAAGAAAGAACTGAATATCATTACTTTATCTATGATCTTCACATGCACTGGGAAATGCAGTCACAAAATAAATAAATGTAATCTTTAAAATTTGGGAGCTGGAAATTTGTCAGCAGTAAAGAGCACTTGCTCCTGCAAGGCTCCAGTTCAGTCCCAGCACTCACTACCTGTACGGGAGTTTCAGTGTGTGTGTGTGTGTGTGTGTGTGTGTGTGTGTGTGTGTGTGTGTAAGAGTAAGGAGACAGACTTTAAGTATGTAGCCATGGCTGTCCCAGAACTCCTCAGCTTTAGAAAACCAAGTTATTTTGTATATACATGTGCCTTCTGTTTGCTGAAAGAATAAATCAATGGATATACTCCCGAATTCCATTCTTGGTTTAAAAGTATTTCTTTTCTGGTTTTGGTCATGAGCTTTTCATGTTTCCTCCACTTGATGTTTACCTGAACATGCTTGTCTTGTGTCAGAGAAGGCACACATTTAGCACTATGAACCTTTACGAAAAAGGTTTTCTTTTGTAGAATATTAAGAAGGTGCCTGTCGTTTTCTTTTACTCTTGGCAGATAAGGAGTGGTATTTTGGGGGGACGGCGCATCTGATTTGAAGAGGCTGACCCCCAGTTCTTGGTCTGGGTCACCTATTTGTTCTTGGAGGTGGATGTTATTTTCATTGATGCAGGAACCAGTGAACACTCGGTGTGGTAGAATTGCTAATAAATGCAGTTTGCAGAATTAGAAACGAGACAAAATGATTTCAAAATTTTTTTTCTTCATGAGACCTTCAGTTTGCTTTCTTTGATAACATCCAGATCTCGTGCTCTGTTAAACTTGAAAGCAACTTTATTTCTATTCCTATTTAAATCATACATACCCTATACCCTAGTATTGGAATTTAAAGAGTGTGTTTAGTTTTGAAGATCAAAGTTTCTTAAATGGGGTTTCCCACTTTCTTTCCCCATATAAGGAAGCTAGTTCTGATGTTCTAGTATTTTAGAAAGTTAGTGGTAAGGATAGACTGGTAGACCTTGTTATCCCAGTGATAATTTTCTTTCTTTCTTTCTTTTTTGTTTTCAAAGATTTGTTTATAAATTATGTATGGAGTGTTCTGCCTGCGTGTATCTCTGCAGGCCAGAAGAAGTCACCAGCTCTTATTACGATGGTTGAGAGCCGTCATGTGGTTGCTGGAAAGTGAACTCAGGACCTCTGGAAGAGAAGTCTGTGTTCTTAACCTGAGCCATCTCTCCAGCCTCAACACAGTGATAATTTTTCAAGAGGAAAATTAGAATTATTCCAGTTGAAAAGTAGGCTAGACTGTTAATAAATTAATTTTGAGATAAGTTCACACTATATAGCTCTGGCTGGCCTGGAACCTGTTATGGAGACCAGGCTGGCCTCCAACTCGGAGATTTGACTACTTGTCTGTCCTCAGTGGTGGGATTACAACAGTAGACCTGATAGACAAGTCAAGATAAAATTTTTTAGTTGATTTTTGATTACTTTATATAGAGACAAGCCAAGCATTATCCATACATTCTGTATTAATATAATA